GAGCTGAGATTGTGTCATTACACTCCAGCCTGGGTAACAAGAGCGAAACTCCATCTCAAAAATAAATAAATCCCTATATGATGTGGACTAAATATGGGTACTCAAAGTATTTTTTGTATGCCTAGAATGGTCTAGTTAATGAAAAACAAAAAATATACAAATGTACAGAAATCAATAGTTCTTGGTGAATAACCATAGTTTAAAAAATGGACTGAAGAAGACCCTTCTCACAAGCAAACACTTATTTCCTAAATAATTCCTATGGAAAATCACTTCAAATATGAATTTAAGAGGTGTTTGAGTGTTCATCCAGCTTTACTTTCATTTCACCAAATACATCATATATTTCTTCTCTAATCCAAATTCACAATGAAATGTTAGATACGTTAATGACAGGAACCCAAAATAAGTACTATATTTCATAAGAAAGCTTATTTTCCTTATTTAAAAAAAAAAGAAAAAAAAAAAAAAAGGCCAGGCGCGGTGGCTCACACCTGTAATCTAAGCACTTTGGAGGCCAAGGCGGGTGGGATCACCTGAGGTCGGAGTTCAAGACCAGCCTGACCAACATGGTGAAACCCCATGTTATTAAAAAAAGAAAGAAGAAAGAAAGTTTATTTTCCCTGTAGTATAATTTTACCATAGTTGATACCTATGTGTACACATGTGTAACACAGTAAATTAAGTTACAGTATTTTACCACAGTTAATATCTATGTATACACATGCGTAACACAGTAAATTATCACAATAAACAGTACCATGAACCACCACCCAAGTACACTATTATCTTGTTACATAAAATCCTGTATCACTCTGTTTCAAATCAGTGCTCTATGCAATAAGGCAGTATTTTGCTACACAAAACATATGAGATATACTGTTGACTTTCTACTACAATTTTGGTGAGCCAATTCCCAAAAGAGAAACATTTGCTGCTTCTCAATTTATTCCATTTGTCAGAATCCAATATAAATCATATTATCTATAATAGTCCAGGATAAGTTACAAAGACCTATTCTCAGCTCATTTGAAATATTCATATTGTGGTCTGTTTTCCTACGCTTACTGTAACAGGACCCAAATTCTGTTGCTGCAATTAGTGAGTACAGAACACACTTGAAAGAGGTTAACTGGGAGGCTACTTCCAGATACCATGAATGAATTTTACTGTTCATGCCACTCAAAGTTCCGCCCTTATACTCCCATGTGCCTCCTGTAGCACTCCAAGCTCTGCATGCTGCACAAACCATAAATTCACTAATGAATCAGGAGAATCCAGCCCCACAAGAACCAACATTGCTAGATACTTCAGTCTTGTTTCAAATCCCACTAAACTAGAAACGGCTAAATTTGCAACCTATTTCATAGCCACTAATGCTCTATGGTATCATCTACCAAAACGTGTTTTCAAAACATACATGTAAAATCACCTCCCTCATTTGGCAAAGTAAGCAAATCTCACTGAATCAAATAAGAAGACTTTGCCAATGCTTTTTTCAATTCCATAACCATAAAGAACCAGAAGACCTTACAAATGAACCAGAAAAAAAAAAAAAA